TGTGTGTGTGTGTGTGTGTGTGTGTGTGTGTGTGTGTGTGTGTGTGTCAGGCCCCGTTCCGAGCCCTCTACCTGCTGTGGGTGACCTTCCTGGGTCCCTGGTTTATGGCAGAAAGCCCGTCGGCACCAGAGGAAGTGAATGAGAAGAAGCAGAGGAGACAAGAGCGCAGACAGATGAAGAGATTCTGATGCTGCAGGGGCAGACGGAGCAGTATTTTTATACACAGAATCTAATATACAGATAGCGAGGAACTCATAAGTTATTCAGGAAGAAACTTTGTTGTTAAGTTAAACTCAATCCAAATCTGATACTGTGGAATCTTCTTTTCCGTGTTTGTTTGTTTGTTTTTTCTGCTTTCTTCTGTAATCCAATGTTCTCCCTAAGCTATTAAATGATGCGTTCTCTATTTAGATAATGTTACGGTCCAAATCTCATTCATCCTCATGCAGAGATTTAAGAGATTTTTTTTTTTTGGCTTTTGCACAATCCCGCCACACTTGATTTCCATCAAACGTTCCTTAACACCCCACACGACACAGTGCCGAGAACGAGTCGAGAAACCAGCTGAAGATATTCTGTCAGTGCACGTATTGTCAGGGCATGTCTTTTATTTTCTCTTAATTTTATTTTCCCAAAAATCCCTTTGATGTAAAATAATTTATGATCCTTCGTCACAGAGCTGATTGTGTTTGTGAGCTTCTAAGTCTTCTCAGAATCAACTGGATAGAATTCAAGTTTTAATAAATAACTTTTTTTGCAATAAAATAAATCCCTCCAGTGAGTGGAGTTGATCATCACATGTTTCAAGAGTTTATTTTTGTTAACGTTCAGTCATGACTTAAAGTTCTGAGCCATTGTTTACATTTTCCCCAGGAGGCTAAAATTAGCTTTTTGTACCTTGATGAAATGAATAGAGCATAAGAGAATCTTTTTTTTCTGTAGGAAGATGTGCCGAAATTTAGATTTTACATGTTTATCTGAACCTATCGTCTACAAAGAAACTCCCCCTGTGAAAGCTTTAACAAAAATGTTCCTTGTGGCTGGAAAAAGTTTTTGTTCTTATTGTCATACTTTCTCCCTTTCCCTTTTTCTCAATAGCACGGCATTGTCTCTCTGCTGTTACTTGGAGATGCAACACAAAACAGAGAAGTATCTCCCAAAATAACTTGCTGCATGTGAGAGTCCATGTCTTGGCTGCTGATTTAAGATGCCACGAAATGGTGAACAACAAGCTCACCACAATTTTCCAAAGACCAAGTAGATTTTTTCAGATTTCTTGTTCAGTCTAACAGTCCAAAATCCAAAATGATGCTATTTACTTTGCTTGATAGATAAGCAAATTCAAACATTTCTGTTGATTGACTAAGTAAGTCAGTGTTTCAGCTCTAGTATAGTTTTAACTGAACATATTCTAGTGTGTATTGCAAGGATGTTCCCATTCCACATAGTCATGTAACCCAACCTGGATACTCGTTCTTTTCATGCTTTGATTTGTGCTATGAGTTCATGAAACAATACCTAGTTTAATCCTTTTAAATAATTAGTTTTTACTTCCTGCTCAATATTTGAATGTACATTTAAGTGACGTGAGCGCTGCAGCCAAAGAATGACGTGGCAGCTTCAGACTTTAGAGGACAGCAAGCAGGTTGTTATTAATAATTAGAATTTTAAATACAGTTCAAGATAATGTCAGAATGAAATTAAGTGGAACATCATGTTCAATTTCACGTTCAAAAATGTTATTTTATTATAAAGTCTGCTAAGTGACTTTACTCTTTCTTTTCAGTGTTGACAAAGTGTATTTAGTGAGTATGTTCATGCTCAGACTCCAGAGATAGTGAGTGGGCTTGCAAAGCCCAGATCTGCTCCCAATATAATTACAGATTTCTCAGATGCTCAACTCAACAAGCAAAAACCTGCATTCAGTTTTCAAGAGGAAAAAGGTTAAAAAGGAAACAAAGCAGAAAGGCATTTACAAAGTTTGCTTCGATTTATTACATACAAGAATTCAAACAGCTCTTTTTACCTAAATCTATACTCATCCTGAAGTCTTCAAATGCTTTTTTCAAAATGACTGATTTTAGCTTGCAAGCATCCTGCCCTCCTTCATTCCAGCCGTGTGGTCCTATACTGTCTCTATTATAGGGTTATAAACAAAGTAACCGAAATTAGAGCAGCACGGCATCCAGTTGTCAGGGCCAATCCCAGATGTGGGCTTTGAGAGGGACCATGTTGCAGTGTAATTTAGCACTGAGGCCCTTCTGCATGTAACCCCACCCCCTCAAAAATCACATATGTACTTTGTGTTTTCTGTTTGTTTTTCCGTAGGAAGATGTGCAGAAATTGAGATTTTACATGTTTATCTGAACCAATCGTCTACAGAGAAACTCCCCCCGAGAAAGCTTTAACAAAAATGTTCCTTGTGGCTGAAGAAAGGACACAAGCAAACTTTCTTCGTTTCCCTTTTTCTCAATAGCACGGCATTGTCTCTGCACTTACTTGGAGATGCAACACAAAACAGAGAAGTACCTCCCAAAATAACTTGCTGCATGCGAGAGTCCATGTCTTGGCTGCTGATTTAAGATGGAGAGAAAAGAAAAAGAGTGGGAGAGAGAGGTTCTTGTTTACCACGGCAGTAAAAAAAGGGTTCATCCTGACAAGATGTAATGAGGGAGTCGAAGCTGCATTCCATTTTCCAGGCTTTGTGTGTGAAAAAAAAGCCCATTATACAAGCCAGAGAAAATAAATGCTTAAGTTAACAAAAAGCATTAAACCTGAGATAGAGAGCTGCAGTGGAGACTTTTGTCTCATTGGCTCCAGCAGAACATGACCCTCACATTTTAGATCCCTTTACACTCTCAGAGCCAGACAAAACAGGAAATTGGGGGGCATTTGGGCAACAGTCGAGCCTTTGACCCTTGAACTACAGCGCTCCCTGTCTTTGAAGTGAAGAGAGAGAATCACAAGCAATTACATGCGATGCAGAGTGCATTCCCTTGAACATTTAGCCTCCACTGTGTAAACAGAATTAGAGCTCTCTGAGTGTGTTTGGCAGAGCGGTGGGTGTAGTCTGCTTAAAGTGTATGATCTAGGCTGTGTTTTGACCTTGTTTTGACTCAAAATAAACTCCCCCAAACACTTCTCACAGTTTGGGGTGCAGTGAAGGACTGGCTGGTGTTAGTAGTAGTGCTGTCTTGCTAAGATGACACCGGCCAGGCAGCGTTCACAGCTCCCACCGTGGCCTTAAAGGGAAGCTGTCAAGAATTCCTGCTGCATTTGACTGTGTGTGTGTGTGTGTGTGTGTGTGTGTGTGTGTGTGTGTGTGTGTGTGTAACCATAAGACGTGGTGACAAACACTCAACCCTCCTCGGAGATTGTCACCTCTGTTTAACATCTCGCTCCGTCTCCTGTCAACTGGTCATCTGATCCTGTTTGTCACCAACTGCAAACTGAAGGCAAATCCATGAAACCACAGAAGTAATGTCTCATCTCTCAATGTGCCACAGCCTTTAGCACATTAATATACTATATTTGTTTATTTTATGGAACATGCTGCTCTTGGACTATAACATAATTATATAAAGATGAAGTAGGTGTCTGCACATAAACACCTCCCTGAAAACGATCTATCTCGTCGTCATACTGTTACATAAATCAAAAATAATACAGCGCACTTTTATATTGGAGTTAAAATGTAGCTCTACTGCCAAAGTGTGATCATCACTGTAAGGCAACACCTTTTTTTAGATGGCCTCATGTTGATATTAAAATAAATACAATGTGCTACATCCCAAAACACCGTCCCTAACTGCATCTTTACCTGATGAGTACTTTTAAAGGGGAACTCCGACGATTTTCCACATTAAAGGCATCAGTAAAGCAAAGATTCTGACTCTTAAAATCATCAACAACATGACAGAAACATCCTTAGGATCTCATCAGGATCTGTTAGGTTATTTATATGAAGTTACTCAGCGTTTTCTGCCAAATCCTCACTGGGAGGGTTATGCACTTGAAGGCATAAAAGTTGTGTTTTGTACATTTACATTTGCTGGCTAAAGCAACGCCATGCAGCTGCAATCATGAAGAAATACTATAACTGTCAGTGAGAGTGGATACATGTATTTGAGGTGATCGAATAACAAATCCGCAGACAGGCAATCATTGTACTGTAATCTCTCTAATTATAGCATAAAATACTTCAAAAATAAGCTCCCAACACTGCATTAACACCCCAGCAGCTGATATTAATAGGATCCAATGATGAGGTGCACCCACTATGTTGTAAACTCTCAAATACATATTCTTCCTGGGCACAGCCCACATCAATTCTACCTCTATTCTTTACTTTGTTTGGTTTTTTGTGCTTTCATTAAAAAAAAAAAAACACAGCCATTAGTTGCAGCGGTGGCGCCACTGTCCGCATGACTCCGGCTGAACCAGGATCAGTGAGGGACAGACTCCATCATACTGGGTTCCCTTCCTCTTCCTTTGTTTTCATCCCGTTTCCTTCCTCGTTTTCTCAGATACTGTTCCCCCAATGGAAGTCTAAACAAAATACAATACTGTGAAAGTAAACAAACGCACAAATATCATGTCCTACAGCCTTGGCCCTTACCAAAACCAGACCCAGCGTCGTGAGGATCCCAGGACAGGGTTTCGGTTGGTGCTTTGCCAAAGGAGCTACAATGTCGACTGACTGGAACTCCATGTGGTTTGTGACTCTGGTGAAGCAAAAGACCACTTGTATTATTTGATTTTGCATGTTCACAAAGTTAAAGTGAGCGTGCTGATTCAGAAAGAACCAAGATGCTATAATAATTGGATGACAGGTAGGTTGTTTTCCTGTTTGGCTCAGAAAACCTGAAAAGAGAAATAGCTAATATGGAAGACATCTGTGTCAGCACAAGCACAACAGAGCTTTCATTTTAAACCAACAGATTTAGATCAGATCTTAATTCTTGAGCTCTTACGCTGTCCCAACCTCTAACGCCCAAATAGTTGTTGGCCAAACTGTTATCACAAAGTGTTCCTGAACATAATGTTGTGCCCTGAAAGCAAGAGTGTGTTCTAACAGGGCACTGGTTGATAAGGAAGGATACTGTCAAACCTCAAATGTGCTCTAAGCATAATGGGATATCAAATTGAGGGGAATTTATGCCGAACAATCCAGCGACTCTGTTAGATAAGAATACTGACCTAATGGTCTGTGGGACATGACATGTGATTACAATGTTCTGAGTGTGAGTTCAGCAAAGGACCTGCACTGCATGTTATCCCACTTTCTCTTCAATAAATAGTCAACATGTGAGTCTACATTGGTGCAAATAAACACTTAAATAATCTGAAATGTGTCTTTACTACGCAGCATCCATCAACCTGCACAGTTGTTAACTTGGCTAATGCTCGCATTAACATCAATGAGCTTTTAAACACTTTTTACGCAGCTCTTGTGTCCTCCTTCTCCACCATTTCGATCCCATCCTTCCTCGCCCACCTCATGCTATTAGACCTATAATGGAAGTCTAGATTAATGGTTAATGTTCTGTCATAAAGTGCTTTCCATTAATTAGTGACTCTGTTTCTCAGAACGGAGAGGGAGAGCAGAAGAGTGATTAATGAGCTAACTAGCGCAGCCAGCGGCTCGCCTAGCTCCAGTGGTGAGCGTGAGAAGACTCGGACCCGCAAAGGGAGGGAAAGAAAATAAATATGTGGCCCTTGAAAAAAAAAAAAAAAAGTGCATGGAAATTCATTGAAAGGGTAGCTGAGTGCAGTTTCAAAGGGATTGTGGAACATT